ACCGCCTGAGACACGGCATTTTTATACCTGTAAAGAAAAAGATTAAAGATTAAAGAACATAAAAATACAAATAAGAAAAACACAAAAACATAAAGACAGAAAAACATAAAACAAACATTAAACATAAAGATGCTATTAAAATTTGAAGTCATTTGAAGGAGATCTAACAAAGTTATTAGATTGCGAAATGATATCAAATTTTTTGAAACACTCTCTCTCTCTTTCTCTCTCTCTCTCTATATATATATATATATATATTTCTGAGATGAGGTATTATGTACACTATTTACATTGTTTGGACTATCATCATCATCTTTGTTGTCATATTTTTCACAACGTTTCGGCTGTTGTACACTCCGGCCCTCTTCAGGTAGTTGGAATGTCGAACTGAACCCTTTATTTCGCTCACTGGGGTAGACTGTTCTAGTTCCACGTGCCATGTCTGATGGCTGTCAGTTATCAGTTATCTCCTGTTAATTCCCCCTCAAGGACACATGCCACAGTGGATAAAGGCGTTAGTTAGATCAAGTGACAGGACCCAAGGTGTGTGAGTTCAATACCTGGTTAAGTCAGGGGAGAACTTGGAGAGACAAAAATTACAAACAGGCCGTTTCAAGGCACGTTTAAGGAAACAAACAAAGACTGTCATATTAGTCCATTGTAGGACTGTTCCAAGGGAGATAACTCCTACTTGTATCCGGGAACGGACATGCGCGTGGAGATATTTTTCCGGTCCCCAACGAATCGTATTGCCTGTTTACTTTATATATATCGATAATATCAGCCACTAGCCCAAATCTCTTCAGCCATCATAATTCGACATGGTTTCAGCGTGATACCTAAGTGACTGAACGAACGTTTACCTGAATATTCCGTAAATTCAGTGGATACAATATCAAAAAGGGCACTTAAACGGCCAACACCTTTTACCTTCCACAATTCAACCTCATGGCCCGCGTGGAAAGATAGGTTTGAGCCTTTTCGTTTAGCACCAAAGCTTGCAAAAGGAGAAGGCAAAATACAAGTTAGATTTTTGATGGCAGACAAGATTTTCAAGACTTTTCAACTGACTGAACAAGAAAGAAAAGAACTATGCAACAATGCTACGAAAGTTGGATGGACATTTTATACCTTAACGTAACATCATTAACGTTCTTGCGCAGTTTCATTAGAGTGACTAAAGCGGAGAAGAAACTGTAAAAGCGTATGGTTTGGTTTACGGTAACCTCAGTGCGTTATTTAAGGCCGACAAAATTTTATTACCGAGAATATTTTTTTCCAAAAATGTATTGCTGGTAATATTTTTTTTCAAAAATATATTGCTGGTAATATCTTTTTTCTTTGAAAAATGTTTTGCTGGTAATATTTTTTTCCAAAAATGTACTGCCGGTAACATTTTCTTTCAAAAATGTATTGCCGGTAATATCTTTTTTCTTTCAAAAATGTATTGCTGGTAATATTTTTTTCAAAAATCTATTGCTGGCAATAATGTATTGCTGGTAGTATTTTCTCTTGCAAAATTTATTGCTGGTAATAATTTTTACAAAGTATTTCTGATATTAAACTTTCATAGTGTTTAAACTCAAGTTTAGGGGTTAACTATTAGCCCATGGCTGGGACCCTAAAAGGTTCTACCACCCCGAGTCAGGGTGAACTTGGGAACACCAGCAATTAACACGCTCCACGCTCCTCAAAATCGCCTTGCTGTTGGACGTAGTTTATCGTCATACCCAGGACGGGAGGAGTATGTTAGAGCTCTCTATAAATTGTTCCGCCCTTTTCCTGAAAAATTCGGCTCCTTTTGACGTAAGCTGACAAAGCGTGGCAGAGGCCGAATTCCTTCGGACGTGCAAATAGTACGAGTTTCACTGAGAATTTGGATTCAAAACCAGTCGTCAATCGCATGCACAAACACTTTTAAAATAGTGCGATCCGGTTTGAATTCAGAGTTTTCTTCTTCTAGACTGGTTGCCATCCAAGGATATAGAACCAAGTCTGCCCTGCTATTTTACCCATAGCTGTAGGGCATAAAAGATGGATTCATATCTGGGTACTAAAGACCAAGAACTTTGTGAAAATCTCCAACCCTAGTCTGATCTCACAGTTAAAATTACTATTGCTACTGATGTGAAGCTACATACAGCTCGAACAACAGAAGGGTACAGGCAGGGGTGGCATCCTACAGGTTCGCGCGAACCGATTCTTAAAATTATAAATGCTTAGAGAACCGGCTGTTAGATCATCCGAAAATAATCTTATATATTAATAGCCAATGGTCTCGGTAAAATGTTAATTACGCTACATTCGCGCGTAGTCAGTCAGTTGTGTGCCATGCGTGATACACGCTCAGGTGATCATGTATCTTTCGATACATGACTGACGAGGCAGATTATTTCCCGCAGTAGGTTGCCATTTCTTTCTGCGGTAGACCAGTTGTCATCCAATGCTATAGAACCCGGCCTGTCCTGTGCTTTTTTTCAAATGTCTAAGACCCGGTTTAACCGAATCACGTCGACTGACGTAGGGCTGGTTAAATGTGAACAATGCCGAATTCAGCGCTATCAAATGCAAGCCTGTGATAATAAAACTTAAAGATGGCGACAACTCCATACAGTGTCTCTATACCAAGGCGCGTACCCCTACTTCTCCAATAGACGGTAAGGAGAGAATTCCAGCGTATGAAGGATTGTGACATCATCGAAGGAATTACAGAACCAACTGAGTGGGTATCACCATGTTGAAATTCCAATCAACCGAAGAAAGCCGGAGCGTACAACGGCCGAAACGTTGTGAATATGGCATTGAAGGCGAGGATAACAATTCGAATAATGTAAATAATGTAAGTAATCATGATACCTCATCTCAGGGATATAGACACAAACAAACAATTTCTTTCTGTTTCAGTTTCATACTGATTTTTCATTGTGCACCTAAAGAATAGTTAATCGATAATTTTGCTTTTGCATGTGGTAAAATCCCTGTATAATCTTGTATTATTATCTAAAGAATTAACACCATTGTCTCTTGTGAGATGGAATTCGGCATTTTCGACCATTATAAATAAATGCATCCAAAGAAATCTAACATGAGTCAAAAGGCATAAAAAGTCTCACTTATTTACTAATGAAATAATCACTTATTGTCGTCAATTAATGATTCCTTTTACTATAACAAAAACGGATTTTAATAGTAGAAAAGGGAGATAACTTTGAGATAACTTTCTTTTTTAATTAATACATCGATTCTTTCTTTCATTAATTCTTTCTTTCTTTCAGTCAGTAATTTTTATTTGTTTTTTCTATCTTTCCTAAATTCATTAAACCTTTTTATTATTTCCTTAGATGTTTCCTTTTTTTCAATAATTCATTTTCTTTCTTTCATTAATATATTCATTCTTTCTTTAATACATTGATTGATTGATTGATTGATTGATTAATCCATTCTTTAAATTTCTTTCTTTCTTTCTTTCTTTCTTTCATCTATTCTTTCTTCCTTTCTTTTTATTCATTCATTTATTGTTTCTTTCCTTAATTCCTTAATTCTTTCATTAGGTGATTTCTTTCTTTCTTTCTTTTTTTCTTTCTTTCTACTCATTACACCATTCTTTCATTCATTATTTCAATAATTCTTTCTTTCTTTCTACTCGTTACACCATTGTTTCATTCATTCATTCATTCTTTCTTTCTTCTCGTCACACCATTCTTTCATTCATTATTTTATTCTTTCTTTCTTTCTTTCTTTCTTTCTTTCTTTCTTTCTTTCTTTCTTTCTTTCTTTCTTTCTACTCGTCCATTCGTTCTTTCATCCATTCTTTCTTTCTTTTTTCTTTCTTTACATTTGCATATATCGTTATTTATAAATATTTTTTTTAGTTTTTAAATCAATACAAATATGAAATACAGGGAAAAAAATCGAAGCAACAATCACTGATAAATAAAAAAATAACGGAAAATATTTTTTGCTAAGTAATTCTCGGCTGTATGTTGCAAAAATGATTCCTTAAGTACAGGGTGGTCCTAAAGTATTGTCACCTCTACCTCTTTTCCAAACTGTAGGAGTTCGTGTCAGCCATCTGAAAGAAAATAAAATATCAGGGTGACAAGACTTTTGGACCACCCTGTAGAATCAGCTGAAGAAACTCCCCCCCACTTCTATCTCTCTCTCTTACGGACTACCATACTTTTTTTTTCAAGCATCTAGACCACTTACTGGCAAGATCTTCTTCAATCAAAAACAAACTAAACAAACTTTCAATGAATATTCCATCGGTTCTGTGAATGAAGAATTCATTAAGAATGGAAGTGACGACCTGCGAGATTTGCATACCAAACTTTGTTTTTCATCAGGAGCTACAAGAAATAAAAAAAAAGAAAGAAAGAAGAAATTGTAAAAGAAAAGGAGGAAAATTGTAGAACTGAGAGAAAAAAAGGAAGGAAAGACTGATGAGAAAGAAAGAAAGAAAGAAAGAAAAAAAGAACAAAAACAAGAATTAAAAGGAGAGAACCGGCCTCGTAGCGAAAAATAATTACACGCACGAGAAGTTGGTGTTAGATCCCTATTAAAAACAAAGTTTTTAAACGCCGGATAGGCAGGCCCTTCCCAATTTGGAAGATTGGTGTAATGCAATCTTCCTTGACCTGTGACACTTGCCAATTTTACCTTGGCTTAGTTAATATTGAAAAACTAAGACAAAAGAAAAAAAAGAAAAGAAAAAAAAGAATGAAAGAAGAGAATAGAGAAGGCGAGTGACTGAACAGGAAAGACGATCAATGGTAGAAAAAAAAAAAAACAATAATTCAACATATGATGAATAACGTAAGGAAAAAGAAAAGAAAATATACGAATAAGATGCGCCAGGTGAGAAGATTGATTGAATGCTATGATCGACTGAAAGCACAAGGAATGATTACTTTTTAACGCAACACATTTATAAAAAATATCTATCTATCTATCTATCTATCTATCTATCTATCTATCTATCTATCTCGGTTTGGTCTTAAACCAATGATTCTATCTATCTATCTATCTATCTATCTATCTATCTATCTATCTATCTCGGTTTGGTCTTAAACCAATGATTCATATCTATCTATCTATCTATCTATCTATCTATCTATCTCGGTTTGGTCTTAAACCAATGATTCATATCTATCTATCTATCTATCTATCTATCTATCTATCTATCTATCTATCTATTCATCTATTTCTGGTCTTAAACCAATGATTCATATCTATCTATCTATCTATCTATCTATCTATCTATCTATCTATCTATCTATCTATCTATCTCGGTTTGGTCTTAAACCAATGATTCATATCTATCTATCTATCTATCTATCTATCTATCTATCTCGGTTTGGTCTTAAACCAATGATTCATATCTATCTATCTATCTATCTTTCTATCTATCTATCTATCATTCATCTATCTATCTATCTCGGTTTGGTCTTAAACCAATGATTCATATCTATCTATCTATCTATCTATCTATCTATCTATCTATCTATCTATCTATCTGTTGTGGATTTGAATCAACCCCCAACAAAGAAAAAGACTAGTTGTTTACATATAAAAATAAATAAATGTGATTTCTTCGTGTGTGTATGTGTGAGAAGAAGCGAGGGAGGAAGTGAGGAGGAAAGTGTAAGTGTCTCATAACTTGTTGAGGAAGGCGGGTGAATATGTCAGGGAAATTCGTTTAAGTCGAGCATCGTGACCTGTTGCCGTCTGTTGCTTGTTGTCTATCCTCCGGGTTTGTTTGCTTGGAAACTTTGCTTAAATACTCTTCAAAGGGATCACAAAGCATTTTATTTTTATTGTTGGCAGGAACACGACCCGTTGGCTGAAAAATATTAAATACTTATTTTCGAAGCATTAATTTTTAAGCGGAAAAATTCGCAATCCTCCGAGTCAGAAACCTTTTTTTGTCATTTGGCTTTTCACTGTCTTGGTGTTTATTTCTGTCTCTGTCTCTGTCCAATCTATCTATCTATCTATCTATCTATCTATCCCCCAGTCTGTTCATTATCTATCTATCTATCTATCTATCTATCTATCTATCTATCTCCACATTGTTAATATCTATGCCTGTCTGTTCATGCTAACATGCTACCTCTATCCCTCTCTCTCTCTCTCTCTCTCTATATATATATATATATATATATATATATATATATATATATCGTCGACTCTCCCGTCGAGATTCGACGTATGAGGGCCAAGCAGATCAGTTTCCAGGAAACAAACAGCCCGACACCGGCACATGAAGGCTTCGTGCAGGACCATCCACACTTTTTGAAGGGACGAATACAGAGACCTGGTGCACCGAATGCCACAAGGTTCCCAAACGACCCTACGCAGGTTTTGAATTCAGAGTTGTCCTTCTCCTAGACCAGTTGCCATCCAAGGCTGTAGAACCCAGTCTGTCCTGCTATTTTACCCATAGCTGGAGGGAGAGAAAGAGGATTCATACCTTTCCCAAGGGAAAGTGAATGTAATGGATTCGACTGGAATTCGAACTCGGCTCTGCGATTCCCCAATCCAAGCCGCTATCCATTACTCCACCGTGCCTCCTCCTCTCTCTCTCTCTCTCTCTCTCTCTCTCTCTCTCTATATATATATATATATATATATATATATATATATATATATATATCTATGTCTGTCTGTTCATGCTATCTTGATATCTCTGTCTGTTCATATATATATATATATATATATATATATATATATATATATATATGTATGTATATATGTGTGTGTTTCAAGTTAGCTAGTTTAAATGTGAGGGGCTTGAGGGATCAGAGTAAGGCTGCCCGCCTGTTTCGTGATCTCCTGTCCTTTGATGTAGATGTAGCTGCGATCCAGGAGACATACTTTGATTGCGAAGTTGATGCGCGTGTGGTGTCTAGCGACTTGTCTATTCAGCATACGGGGACCAACAGGCTAAAGGTGTTTCCTTGCTGGTAAAACGTACCCTGGGTGCGCGGGTGGACCATGTCCACGTCGACGCTGGTGGGAAGTCGGTTGATCGTGGCTGATATTGCCGGGAACAATAGTTTGTTTCGGGTCGTTGCGGTTTATGCGCTCACCGACCAGACGGAGCATCGCTCGTTTTATCGGCAGTTAAGGCCGTTCCTTGTGGATTCATCACGCTTCGTCTTAGTGGGGGACTGGAATGCCACCGTGGACCCCGATATAGACAGGGGGTTGGGGAGCTAGTGGGATGTCATTGGATGATCGTAGCCTGATTGGCGATTTCGGTCTCGTCGATAGATGCCGAGTCGATCATCCTAGGGAGTAGGTGTGGACGTGGGCACGTATGTGGACGTGGGCACGTATGTGGCCGTATACCCGCGTAGGCAGCTACCTGGATAAAATGTTAGTGAGAAGGGCCAATCTAGACTTATTAGGCGTGAGGTTCTAGTACTAGAATGGCTGGACACTGGAAGTTCAATTTGTTCTTACTGGACAGGCGGGGCTTTCACCAACAGCTAATTTACTGCAGCGTGAACTAGTGGGGGCGGTTATTGGGAATAGGTGGTGGAAGAGGCTTAAGGACAGGATTAGTTCCTTCACTACCGAATATAGTCAGCGGCTCACACTAGATAAAGCTAATAAGGTGAAGACACTTTATCTTTATCTGTCTTGGGCGGAGGCTGTGGCGGGATCCCTTAGAGGTAAGTTTAGATAGGCAGGCTCTTGAGTGATTGACTAGCGAGCGCTCCAAGGGTCAGGTAGTTATGCATAGGTTGAACAAGATGTCTAACGAGGCTGTGAACATGGGCACAGAATTGCGCAAGGAAGAGATCCGTCGAGGTTCCGAGCGTTACATTCCTGAGGTTGTTTTTGAAGGGTAGAGCAGAAGTGTGTGTCGCTTACATCTTTCCTCTTATCCTTTACAGCCTGCTTGTACTTCTTCTTTGCAAGTCTTCTCTAGCCTTACTATCACTCCTCCCATTTCCTGGGCTAAGTGCCGTCGTAGGCCCGGGAAATTGTCGACTTTCCTCAGCGAGAGTTGAGCGGCCTTGAGGGTCTTTCCTCGGTCCAGTGACCTTTCATGGCCTCGAAAGGTCTTGTATCGTGAATTAGTGGAGGGTGTCGCGAAGAATCCTCTCTGTAGGCGGTTTGGCTTGTCGTTGGTCGAGTTGCGCTTTTTCTGGTCTTGGGCACCAGCGGCGAATTACCTCAGTAACCCTGAGTTTTTGCTTGCCTGGCGATTGATTCGGAACGTGACAGGATCTTCAGATGGGGCTGGGTGGATTTTGCCCGACTGTCATCGGTGTGACTTTGGCTTAGAGGAAACGGATTCACACGCCTTCTACTATTGTCCTCAGGTGCGCACTTTCTGGGATTATGACGGCTCGTATCACTCCCGATGTTCTCGTGCTCATTGATCTCGCATACGTGTGCGATAATATGTCGCCCCCGTATTCTGGGGAGAAACGAATGGTGTTTCTCACGGTGCTAGCCGTAGCGCGAATGCTGATTTGGGTGTCGCAAATGGAGGGAATCTTGCGATACGAACGTTATTCTCATCAGGATTTGGTCAGATTCTTTCAGCACCAGCTGAAGGCGACGATCAGAACTGATAGAAAGCGTTTGATATCGACAGATTTCAGCGAAAGGTGGGTGAAAGTAGCGAGTTTGGTTTGTGTGAAAGGGGCTAACATTGAGTTCCTTTTTTAAGTCCACTTGATCAGAACGGGGCGGTTTCCTGTGATCCCTCCATCTGGTTAAGCTAGACACTATTTGTTTTCCTAGTTGATGTGAATAAGTGTTGCTCCTGGCCTGTTCCCGGCACTCTCTTTTGCTATGATCCATGTCGAGATTCCCAACCTCCCCAGTTTGTTTTTTGTTCCCTTTATCATCTTGGCCGGGTCAGACTTTAATCTTTCCCATTCCGACATTTATTTTTACCATTCCCACTCCGTTAATAATTTTTTGAGCAGCCACCCTGATTATTTGGAGGGGTGGACGGGTCTTACTAACATCTGTTTTGTTTTTGTTTATTTTTGTTTCAATTTTAGTTCGTTTCCGGGGTTCATTACCTCCCCGTCATTTCATGTTTCATTAAATTTGTATATATTTTTGTATTTAGTCATTTTGAAATTTTTTTTTATCATAGGGTGTTTTTGTAGGCCCCCCCCTGTGAATATGTGGTATTGTGGTATATGTAGGCTTAAATGGTGATAAATGAGTTATTGTGGTAATTGGATTAATTGTATTGGAGGAATGGGTCGTGATCGTGATTAACTAGGACGAGAATAATTAGCGAAGACCAACCTCTCCCCACTTTCCCTTCTGCCATGTGCAACAATTATAGTATAGTGTAACCCGGATATAAGAGACTCGGATATAACAGAAACCCGGATATAAGAGAGATTTTCTCTGGTCCCAAATTAGAGCCCATACTTACCTCAACAAAATAGACCAAACCCGGATATAAGAGAAACCCGGATATAAGAGACTTCTTCTCCGGTCCCGACAACTCTCTTATATCCGGGTTACACTGTACTGTATATTTTACAATAATAAATAAACAGTTGAATAAAGCTTTCTTACAGCCTACACCTACGTACTTTTGTCATTACAGTAAGTATTGGTTGTTTATATATAAGTCTGTAAGCATTTCCTTAGTCCGTCTATAAATAATTATTAGGTCGTTTATATTTGAGCGTATAAACATTTTCTTGTTACGGGGATGAGTCGTTATTATTTGAGTCTATAAGGATTTACTTGGCTCTAGAATAGACAGATATTGGTCGCTTATATTTGAGTCAATAAGCATTTACTTGGCAAATATTGGTTGTTTATATCTAAGCCTATAAAGAATTACTTGGTTTGGGACGCGGTAAATATTGATCATTTATTTAATTCGGGGATAGGTAAATATTGGTCGCTTATAATTTAGTCTATAAGCATTTACTTGGTTTTTGGGTTAGGAAAGTATTCATTTATATTTGAATCAATAAGCATCTTCTTGCTTAGGGGATAGGTA